CCCTAGCTGTCTTCAACATCTCAAGCCTCTCCGGCCTCCTGTCCCCGGCGCTAGCGGAGAGCCTGCTGGTTGCCCTGCCCCCCTGCCACCTCACAGGGGGGAACGCCACCCTGATGGTCCGGAGAGCCAATGACAGCACAGGTCTGCCCCCCTGTCCCTGGCGCCCCCCACATGCCTGCTCCCGCGCGCCTTCCCTTGACCAACCCGCTGCTGGGCCCACACTGCCAACTGCCCCTTCTCCTTGGGGTCTCCAGAAGCCTGATGGCCTTTCACCCCGATTCCCCCCGCAGTGGTGACATCCAGCTTTGTGGTGCCCCCCTGCCGTGGGCGAAGGGAGCTGGTGAGTGTGGTGGACAGCGGAGCTGGCTTCACGGTCACCCGGCTCAGGGCATACCAGGTGACAAACCTGGCGCCAGGAACCAAATACCAGTAGGTGCCAGGTCCAGGCCTGGGTCCTGGGGGAGCGAGGGGGTGCCGGGTCCTGGCAGGTGGCAGTCATGGTGGGATGTGGTCACCCTGGGGAGGTGGTTCATAGCTAAAGGCTCATGAACGGGCCTCTCCAGCCAATCAGTGATTCTCTCTTATGGATGTTTCTCTCTTCCTCTCCCTTCCTCTCTGAAATCAATAAAAATATATTTAAAGAATAAAAAAGAACAGGCCTCTCCCAGAGGGGCACCGTGTAGGCAAATGGGGAGGCCTGGCTGATGTCCCTTCTCCCAAGTCCCAGACGCTCCCTGAGGGTCCGCTCTCCTTTCTCTCCTAACCCTTCACCCCCAAAAGCGTCTCCTACCGGGTGCAGAAGGGGACAGCCACTGAGTCCAGCCGAGAGGTCCCCATGTCCACCCTTCCGCGTGAGTAACCACTCCCTCTCAGCTCCAGCCGCAGACCCCCCTGGCCCTTCCCAGCACCGCCAGCCCCCTGGGGCTCCCATAGCGCCTTTGCCCCCCTCTATCCTAGCACCGAGCCCTGGGCATTTTATTTTATTTATTTATTTTTAATTGATTGATGAGAGAGAGAGAGAGAGAGAGAGAGAGAGAGAGAGAGAGAGAGGGGCATTGATCTGTTGTTCCACTGATTTACGCACTGAGTGGTTGCTCCTTGGATGTGCCCTGACTGGGGATCAAACCGCACCCTTGGCGTATTGGGGCAGCGCTCCACCCAGCCAGGGCCAGCCCTGGACATTTTCACTGTGTTGACTCATCTTCCGGCTGAACTGAAGGTTCCCTGTGGGGGGACTGGGTGCGATTGATTTCTGTAGCCTCCGTGAGTGACGTGAGTGACGCAGGAGTTGCTCCCTAGACGGTTACTGGGTGGATGTCTGGATCCCTTGGATGGCCGTGGGATGCTGGCTGAACAGGCAGATGAAAGGGCGCCTGGCGGAATGGCTGGAGGAGGCAGCAAGCTGAGTGCCCTCAGACCTCCCGGCTTCCCCCCACAGGACGCAAGGGGGCCTCCATTGGGCTGGGGATGGCCCGCACGGGGGGCATGGTGGTCATCACGGTGCTGCTGTCCGTCGCCATGTTCCTGCTGGTCGTGGGCTTCATCGTGGCCCTGGCACTGGGCGCCCGGAAGTGAGGAGGCTGAGTGGGCACAGGGGGCTCGACCAGTAGGTCAGCGCTGGCCAGCTCTCCAGTCCAGGGCTGGGCCTTTGCTTCTGACAAGCCGGCCTGTTCCCCGTCCTCATCACTGCTCTGGCTCCTTGGTGCCTTAGCTCCCTCGCCCTCCTCCCTTTGCTCCACCCCTTGTCTCCAGGCCTCCCTTTCCCAGCTCTCCCTGTCCTCTTCCTCACCCTGCTCCTGTCAGAATGGAGTTTCCTCCCCTTTCACTTCCTTAATTGCCTCCAACAACAATTCCGCCCCCCACCCAGTGCACTGAGCTCCGACAATAAAGTGGCTCCATTGGTTGGGGATCCTGTGCCCCAAAGTCCCAGTCAGGGCACATGCCCAAGTCACGGGCTTGATCCCCAACAGGGGGTGGACATGAGGCACTGATCCATACTTTGCTCTCACCTCCCTCTATCTCTTCCTTTCCCTTTCTCTCTGAAAATCAATAAAAAATATTTTTTAAAAAATGAAGCCCAGCCAGTGTCACTCAGGGGTTGAGCATCGACCTATGAACCAGGAGGTCCTGGTTTGATTCCGGGTCAGGGCACAGGCCCGGGTTTGGGCTCCATCCCCAGGAGGGGACCTGCAGGAGGCAGCCAATCAATGATTCTCTCTCATCACTGATGTTTCTATCTCTCTCTCCCTCTCCCTTCCTCTCTGAAATTAATAAAAAATATGTTTAAAAAATAAATTAATTAAGTTGGCTGCTGCCTCTGCTGCACGTGTTTCCCATCTGTGGCCCCCACTTTGGCCTGAGGTGACAGATTCTGCGTCTAGGCGCTCCCAGGCCCCTCCCTGCCCCGGAGCTCAGCTCCTGAGGAGACAGGCAGGGGCCAGAGGAGGGAACTCGGGAGTCAGAGTCCTCAGACCCACACCTAGCTGTGGGGCTGTTCACCCTCCGCAGCGAGCCCCCAGCCAGGGGCTGGTGCGCCATGAGGGGACCCGTGGGTGGGTGGCACGGGTGCCAGCTGGCAGGGACAGGGGAAGCAATTGGAGGCTCTTACTAGGGAGAGACAGAGGGCCACCAGGAGACCAGTCCTGGAAGTGGGGGAATGGAGAAGAGGCTGGAGTGGCTCTAGAGCAGTGATGGCGAACCTATGACACATGTCAGAGGTGACACGCGAACTCATTTTTTTTGGTTGATTTTTCTTTGTTAAATGGCATTTAAATATATAAAATAAATATCAAAAATATCTTTGTTTTACTATGGTTGCAAATATCAAAAAATTTCTATATGTGACACGGCACCAGGGTTAAGTTAGGGTTTTTCAAAATGCTGACATGCCGAGCTCAAAAGGTTCGCCATCACTGATCTAGAAAGAGAGAGCAGACGTATAACCTGGGGGACAGAGACAAGAGCAGGACAGTGTGGTAACTGAGGGAAAAGAGCAGTTACCTCATTCACTTAAAAACATTTTTTAATCCTCTCTGGAGGATATTTTCCCATTGATGTTAGAGAGAGTGGAAGAGAGAGGGAGAGACAGAGAGAAACATCGATGTGAGAGAAACACATCCATGGGTTGCCCCCTTACGCCTGTCGACCAGCGCCAGGGCCAGGGAGGAGCCTACAACAGAGGTACCTGCCCTTGATCAGAATTGAACCTAACCCTTTGGTCTGCAGGCCAATGCTCTATCCAGTGAGCCACACCTGAAAAGGAAAATGGGGTGGGGGTGGGGGGTGTACCCTAGTTCAGCATCTGGTTAAAACTGTAGTTTTACTCCCCCACTCCGACTGACCTGGGTGGAGCTACAGAGCCTAACCCCAAGGCCCACCACAGCTGACGTGGGTGGAGCTGCGGGGATCCTCAGGGGCCGCCACAGGAGGAAATGTATAGATCAGAGCCTCCCCACGAGTTCAGTTCAGGCTGTGGACCCAGAATTCCCCTGGACCTGCAAAGTAAAGGTTAAACTTTCCTTCCTCAGAGCTGGCTCATCATTCTCCTGTGTATTCTGCCACCACACCCTGACCAGGAATCGAACTGTGGCTTCCTGGTTCATAGGTGAATGCTCAACCACTGAGAAACACCGGCCAGGCCAGAAAACAAATTTCTCAATTGATTTTTATAGAAATAGAGGGAGGGAAGGAGGGTGGGAGGGAAGACATAGATTTGTTCATTTATTTATGCATTCAATGGTTGCATTATTGTATGAGCCCTGACCTGGGATGGAACCTGCAACCTTGGTGCATTGGAAGGACAGTTCAACCAACTGAGCTACTCGGCCAGGGTCAAAACCAAATTTACATAAAGGATATTATTGGGCCCTGGCTAGCTTGCTCAATGGATAGAGTGTTGGCTTCGGGCCAAAGGGTCCTGGCTTCGATTCCACTCAGGGGCACGTACCTTGGTTGCAAACTCCTCCCTGGCCCGGGCGCTGATCGGGCTCACACAGGAGGCAACCAATCGGTGTGTTTCTCTCACACTGAGGTTTTCTCTCTGTCTTTCCCTCTCTTCCACTCTCTCTAAAAATGAATGGAAAAACACCCTCGGGTGAGGATTAACAACAACAAGAAAAGGATATCATTGCGACAATGTTCTCATTTCTGATTTCCTGGTTATGTAAGCCAATATCCTTGTTTTTAGGAAATACACACTGAAGTCTTTAATGGTAAAGAAGCATGGTATCTACAAATACTCTTTTTTTATTTTTTTTAATATATTCTATTCATTCTTTACAGAGAGGAAGGGAGAGAGATAGAGAGCTAGAAACATCGATGAGAGA